AAAAAAATCCCAAATGATCCCCAAAACCCCCAAATAATCAAAATTAAAATCCCGAAAAATTCCCAAATCATCCGAAATAATTCCCAAAAAATCCTTAAAAAATCCCCAAATAATCCCAAATAAATCTGAAAAAAATCCCCCAAAACCCAAAAATAACCCCCAAAAAGTTGCCAAAAATCCCAAATAACACCAAATAATCCTTTTAAAACCCCAAATAATACCAAATAATCCCTTGAACATCCCAAATAATACCAAAAAAATCCCAAATAATGCCAAAAAAATCCCAAAAAATCCCCCCAAATTCCCAAATAACCCTTAAAAAAATCCCGAATCCATCCCAGCTATTCCCAAAAAATTCCAAATAATCCCCCCAAAATCCCAAATAATACCAAAAAAATCCCAAATAATCCCCCCAAAATCCCAAATAATACCAAAAAAATCCCAAATACCAAAAAAATCCAAAAAAATGCCAAAAAAATCCCAAATAATCCCCCCAATTTCCCAAATAACCCTTAAAAAAATCCCGAATCCATCCCATCTATTCCCAAAAAATTCCAAATAATCCCCCCAAAATCCCAAATAATGCCAAAAAAATCCCAAATAATACCAAAAAAATCCCGAATAATCCCCCCAATTTCCCAAGTAACCCTTAAAAAAATCCCGAATCCATCCCAGCTATTCCCAAAAAATTCCAAATAATCCCCCCAAAATCCCAAATAATGCCAAAAAAATCCCAAATAATACCAAAAAAATCCCAAAAAATGCCAAAAAAATCCCGAATAATCCCCCCAATTTCCCAAATAACCCTTAAAAAAATCCCGAATCCATCCCATCTATTCCCAAATAATCCCAGATCCTCCCGGGCTGGCTCAGGGGCACTGCACGCCGCGGGACACGGGCGCGGCGCCGTTTTTGCCGATTCGTGCCAGGGCCCTGAGCAGCGCCATGTGGTGCCGGATGGAGTGGTCCAGGTTGACGGTGACCCCCAGGAGCCGGCGCGCCTCGGCGGCTCCGAACGGGAAATCCCTGGCCAGGAAAGCCCGGAAAAGCTCGGGGTCGGCGTCCAGGCTCAGCACCTTGCCCAGCGGCTGCCGCAGCGCGCTCAGCTCGCCCGCGTGCTCCTGGAACACGCTCCAAAGGGATTTGCCAGAACAATCCGGTGATGGCGTCACCGAGCCCTGCCCGGCGTCCTCCAGGCACTGCAGCGTCCAGCTGAGGCGGCCGGGCCAGCGGTCGGCCAGCACCACCCAGGCGGCGGCGGCGCGCGGCGGCACGGACGGGGCGACGGCGCCGTCGCGGTGCAGGAGGAGCCGCAGGGTGATGGGGATGGTGTTGACGATGCGCCGCACGTTGGCGCCGTTCTCCGGCAGGTACCGGCACAGAACGTCGTCGGCGTCGTGGAGGCACCGGAACGCCTCGTGGATCCACGGCACGGCCTCGGAATCCACCTCCTTCCAGCTGCCGGCGGCCGCGCCGGCGCCACCACCGCGGGTTTTGGCGACGTTGCCGGCGATGATGCGGTACAGGAGATCCTCGCGCGTCTGGATGGCGGCCTCGACGCTGCGCAGCCGCGAGCGGGCGCCCATCTCCGGGATGGAGAAGGGCAGCGTGACGGCGCGGTTCAGGTACAGGTAACCGTTATCGGCCAGGCCCTTCATGCAGCCCGTCTGCTCCAGGCACGGCACGATGACGCTGGGGTCCACGGCCAGCACGAAGATGAACGGTGCGTTGGCGTCCGACAGCAGCGTGGCCATGGCGTTGAACACCCCGGCCACCTTCTCCGGGTAGCAGAGGTCCAGGCTGGTGATCTCCAGCACCACGCGCAGCCGCCGGCGCTCGAACACCTCCATGAACGCCAGAAAATCCACCAGGACCTCCACCTCGCCGCGGATCTTGCTCATGAAGCCCAACTGCCCCGCGAACCTCTCGCTGTTGGTCAGGCGCTCGATTTTCTTCTTCTCGCTCACCAGGAAGTTCTTGAGGATGGACAGAGCTCCCAACACCAAGGAGGAGCCGGAGAGCGACGCGGCGGCGCTGCCGACCACCTTGAGCGCGTGGTGATCCTTGATGCCCGGCACCAGCAGCGCCACCAGCAGGATGGCGATGCCCACGGCCAGCACCAGCAGCAGCCCCCAGAGCCGCAGGCACGTCCCTTTCTTCAGGATCCACTCGCGCTGCGAGAAGCCGGAGGCGAAGCGCGGCCGCGAGCCCAGCACGTGGAAGACGCTGAGCGGCAGCGCGCCGAAATGCTGCCGGATGTTCTGGCACAGCGTGGTCACCAGCCCGGCCCAGAGCTTGTCGCAGCCCTCGAACTCCCAGGCGCTGAAGCGGATGAAGATGAACTCCAGGTTCTTGCGCCGCAGGTGGCCCTCGGTGACCACGGGCTCGTAGAAGGCCAAGAGCCACAGGGCCGCCAGCAGGCCCCAGCCGTGGGGGCTGCGCGGCTTCCGGTGGCCGCGGAGCAGCTCGGCGGCTTCGCGTCGCGCCATCTCCTCACGCATGAAGGCTGGCAACGGGACGGGGGACGGCTTGGGATTTGGGGTTGGGATTTGGGGTTGG